CTCAGATTTTAGCCAGAATATTAGTCAACCTAATCGCTAATATCGGACCACCATATTTAAAGACCTCTGGAGCCAATCCATCTGCTCTTCCTCGTTTCAGATTACTTATAGCCTTTTGAACTTCAAGTAGGGTTGGGGGGCCTACTTCAATGTTCTATTCAGGTTTTCTGGGAATAGTGGGTAGTTGTGCAGTAGCTGAAGGCCAGCTAAACTGCTCCTTAAAGTGTTCCGCCCATCGTTCTAAATGTTTGGGTTGAGAGCAGATAAGGGTTCCGTCTTTTTCGGAGACTGTCTCACTTACACTTGACTTCTTAATTCCAGTTTCTTTTATTAGTCTGAATAGTTGCCTGGTGTTCCCTACAGCCGCTGCCTTTTCCACCTCTTTTGCTTTCGTTGCCCACCACTGCTCACGATCGTTCCTTAGACTTTTAGTTAACCTAGATCTAATTTCTTTACGCTCTTCGTCATGTTCAGAGATGGGATGGGATGAGTTTATACGAATCCATCAGTGAAATAGACTTTGAAGAAATCCATTGGTTTTTTGGAGCCCTATGGTTTAAATGACTAATAGATGTTACTGCTGTTTCCACAGCTGTTCGTATGTCTTTCCAAGCAGCATCTGTGTCAGTCTTGTTTACAGAACTGCCTAGATGTGAACTCAGTTGTTTCTGGAATTCGCATTTGGCTTTCTCGCCCTCCAGTTCAATCCTAATGCGTCTTCTTAGTGTACTTTTCCTGCGTCCATTGAGGCGCAGACAAATGCGCGCTCCTATTAAAGCGTGATCAGAGTCTAAATAAGTATTCCAATACGAGCGACAATCTTCTATTGAGCCTCTCCAACGATGACTGATGACAATGACAATTGTTGATAAGTTTTATTTATTTTATTTTATTTAAACACATAAATATTGGTACAAGAAAACACCAAATACATATGCGCCATACAAATCTCATTTGATTTGCTTTAGGGCTGTGATACTGCCCAGGTGCCCAGACTGAAGCAGGTGGTTTTTTTAGGGGCCCACACCCCGAGCATTTGACCTAAATGTCTGATCTACAAGGCAGTGGAGCACCGTGAGGAGATTCAGTCCCATGGTAGCCGGTGATCAACGATTCGGTCGTACCGGGGCATTTGGGGGAAAGTATTACGATTTGAATTGGTTTATTAAAAATATAAATGGAAATTGAGTTTTAAAGTATTTTTAACTATGTATTTAAAATTTATTCATTTAACAATAACTAAGAATAGACTGATGAATTGATTTAACGTAATGATAGATGTATGTAGAATAATTGACATTAGGTATTTACTATAATAAACAATACAAGGTATGCAATAATACAGAATAATAAGAAAAGCAGAAAACCTTTGTGAAACATTACTATGTTTATCTGTGTATGCTATTAATTATGAAAAATGTAAAATTTGTAATATGAAGTACGAATAGAATAGAAATTCGAGTATATATATATATATACATGTGTGTGTGTGTGTGTGTTAATTATGTGAGAATTTATATTGAAACCATTTTAATTGTAGTTCACTTTGCCCCCAAATGACCTGATACGGCCGAGAGTGGAGATAGTCCGCTCTCCCTCTCCAAATGCTCTCACATGGTCACGTACATACAACCATTTACTAGGGAAGTCCTACTCAATGTTTTCTCGTTGCATTAAAGTTGTTTACGAAATTGAGAAGATGAAAAGCGAATGTCCGGCGCTTTAACCGAATTGGTGGACACGGAAATTCTACCTAGGGGAGTTGGTAAACCCTGATTCCAAACCAATGTTTCACATGAGCCCCATGATCCTAAGGAAACAAATGGCATATGAACCAGTTGTTGATCACTGACTAACATAAGACTGCATCTCCGTACGTTGCTCCATTGCCTTGTGGATTAGACCTTTAGGTCAAAGGCTCAGGTAGTGGCCCCCTAAGGAAACCATTTGCTTCGGTTTGGGCACTGGGGCAGTATCACATCCCTCACACAAATTTATTGATTTATGTGGTGCATATGTCACAATGAATTCTTCATATCAAAATAGCAACAATGATAGCTTCTCTATAATTTCATCTTTGTAACTGTTCAATGAACTTTCTAGATAATGATCAATTTTTTTTATAGAACTATGTAGGCTTATGAGAAAGATTCAGAAAGAAAATTTTAGCTTAAATTAATTTACACTTAGATTCATGATGATATGTGACTATATAAACATGAAACTAAAGTTGAAAAGTCAACTTAGTATTGTTTGTTTGAATCTTTCCATCGATTTGTTAGGACTGCAACTGGTCAGTCTCTAATTGGCATATGTGCATACTGTGTGTATTGCCTCGATATACCTTAATTCACAAGCATGGTTAGCAGAGATGGACTCAGTGGCCGAGTGGATAACGCGATGGCGTTTGAAGCGAGGGTACTAGGTTCGAATCCCAGAGTGAACATCAACTCTGAGATGCAGGTACATCCAGCTGACGAGTCCCGAATAGGACGAAAAGCGCGTCCTGGATTCCACTGCTAGCCACTATCCATCACTAAAGTTGAAAAGGTTCTAATAAACATTTAAAAATCAATAAACTTCATAAATCCATCAAATAGTATTTGTTACTCCTAATGTATACGAAATCGTTGATGATTAGCTGAAAAATTAGAGTCGAAACCGCATGGCCATTCTAAACATCAATAAACCTTATCTACATATACTATACTTAGACTTAAGAGTCAATGATTTCAATGAAATATCGTAAATCAAATCAAATAGTCTATCACAGAATATTTATCAAAACTTTACCTTTTACAAATTATTCACTCATACCTAAACAATGAGTACTCTTATATTTATACAATTACTTATTATTTTCAGTATGGGAGTTTGTGGAAGCTGTTGAATGTTAATGAAATCATGAACTGATCTAAAAATAGACAACTGTTGAAAACGAGAAGACATTTGTTTCGTTCAAACATGAAACTCCTCAACAGTGTGTACCCACGACTCCACCAAGGTTTATTCCCGGTTTTCTGATTTTCAGTATATATAATTGTAAGGATGGCTTGTTGACAAACTCAAAAAGCCCAGAAAGAGTCGAAGACATTCTATCCAATCACCGCTAGAGGAATATGTTGACATGTAGCTTCTCTATCGGATGAATAAGAAGGAGCCCCTATGTGTCTATTGGCTGTCTGAAATGATGATTTACTATCAGCCAAAAACTATAAATACCTGACAGTTTTATACCATAATTGACACTGTTTAGAATAACATTCCTTCTACTTGTTTCCTGTCTTATTTTGCGACTTGGGGTATTATTAATTTATTTGAACAAATCTTGGTACAAACGGGCACCAGGAACGAATGCGGCACACAAATCTCATTTGATTTGTGTGAGGGCTGTGATACTGCCCAGGTACCCAAATTGAAACAGGTGGTTTTCTTAAGGGGGACACACCCGGAGACTTTAACCTAAAGATCTGATCCAAAATGCAGTGGAGGATCGTGAGGAGATGAAGTCCCATGGTAGCCGTTTTGTTCCCTCAGGATACTGGAGTCAGCCCATGTGCACGTTTGGTTTGCAATGAGGGTGTAGTGCCGTGCTTCGATAATAGTTTATTTCGATAACCGTTATTATACCAATCTTAACGGTGTATAAAATCAGAAGGCAAAAGGAAGCAGCAACTACATTTTTATTGATAATCGATGCAGACCAGAAAGCTGTGGGCACATGAGCAAGTGTAAGCGAGCGAAGCAAAGATGACACATAGTGGAGATTGGCGGGGAAGCCAACTCGAGAGCGAAGCAAAAATAATGCGTGTTGGAGATGGCTGGAAAGCCAACTCGCTATGAGCAAGCATTACTCGATATTTATAACAAGGCAAAAATGAATGACAGACATATGATGAATAGGATACGAAGGGTACATATATACACTCATATAAAAATATAGTCAAGGTTATTAAGCGAATAATTAACAACATCAAAATATGACTCATGATGTATAGAATTAGCTTGACCAGAATCTAGAATAAATTGTACGGGCTTAACATATAAACTGATACTACAAGGGTTTTCCAACTCCCCTAGGTGAACTTACCATGTCAACCAACCGGGTTAAAGCTCCGGACATTCGCTTTTCGTCCTTTCAATTTCGTAAACACCCCTGCCACGAGAATGTAGTGAGTAGGATTTCCCTGACAGATGCTATATACGCGTGGTCATGTGAGAGCATTTCGAGAGAGAGAGTGGACTCTCCCCGCTCGGCCGTACCATGGCATTTGGGGGTTGGTGATGGAGGTAGGAGGGTTCTGGCATTCGAGTGCTCAAGTATTACGCGACATACTAAGAATCTAAGTTCGAGATATAACAATGATACGTAACATTTCAATCATTATTAAAAATAATACACGCTTCCGAATCAATAGCCGATAAAACAAGAAAAAATCCAGCTTCTATTCTCTCTATTTTATTGTTTGCAGTATCAAAGCATTCATTCATCCATAAAAGAAATATGTACAGAAAGAAATGTGTGTGTGTATTGTTGGAGATGTTAAATCCCCCAGAACATACTTGATAAATGACTTATTTTTGCAATTTTATTTTGAATTCGCTTGTTTTTTTGCGCCAAAAGTGCTCCTTTCACCTTCGAGTCGTATTTCCCACTTAGAAAATATCTTAAACGCTATTAGTCCGTTGTATCTTTTGGTGTTCAATTTTGTAATGCTGCCCAAGGACAACTTTATACTGTATATATAAATTTGATTTCTTTCTATTGCGATCGCTTATACTTTAGCTGTTTACGGAATATATTTTCCTCTACTTTGTCTTAAACTTCTTTCTCCAGTTAGCGGGGCCTGGGACAACGGATTAGATTAGCCTACCGTGTGTCACCGTGTCATTGACCTTCGTTCGTTTATCGAGAAAAACGTAATTAGCATTAAGCATATCTAAGTTACTTTTCACTTCCAAATCATTAGCCGATAAAACAAAAAAAAGAAGCTTCTATTCTCTCTATTCTCTTATTGTATGCAATATCAAAGTATTCATTAATCCATTTTTTAAAAAAAATCTGTACAGAAAGAAATATGTGTGTGTCTGCATAGCCATGGAAACAAAGAAAAATAGAAAAAAAAATCATAATAATAGTAATAGTAGTATTAATACTAGTCACAGTAAACTAATGGGCTTCAATAATAAATATCACACACAATCAAAAATCAAAAAAATATTTTACTAAATTAACCAAATTGAATCAAACACTTAAAAAAACAAACGGCATTTATATGTCATAGCAACATGTTGGCGCAATGGGTATAAAGGTTTCTGTGTTTAAATATGTGTAGGAGGAATGGATAGAAACTGGGAGGGAGAGAGAGAGGGGGGGCAGCGGCAAACAACTCATATAAAGAGATTAAAACAATAATAATAAGGGGGGAGGAAGTAGTTGTGTACATGGATATTGTGCTGTTTTTTTTTGAATAGTTCATTTAATATGATTAACGATCGAATTCAGCTTTGAGAAAACTGGGAACAGGGGAGAGAGGTGAACAACCAACCATTTAGGGTAAACAAATGTTTTAGTTTTAATTTAAAGTAGAAAAAAAACCTATAACCATGTAGTCGTTTAAACCCCTGCCCGTATTTACTTGTTTACTGATGCATTTGTAAGAAAAATAATAAATTATTTGGTAAATAAGCTTGAACTGATGGATTTGATGCAGTTAATCCATAATGATTTGCTACACGAGCAGCACGACAAGCTAAAGTCACATGATCCAAAATTTGTACATGAGATTCCAAGAGGACATGATGAAAACGTTTGTAGAGGATAGTTAAAGAATTTCGATTGGTTGCATCTAAATGAGCGCCACATTTAACCAGAGTATGAACAAGTGAGGCCTACCAACAACAAAAAATGGATAACATACGAATGAGAAAATAAATATATTTAAAGAGAGAGTCAGTTATTGAATACTACTTCAATGTTGAATGTTGTTGGATTCACAAGTATTGATCAGATTCAATTGAAAAAGTGATCAATAAGTGAATTGATCCAAAAAAAATATATGAAACCTTTTTCATGTTAGTTGTTGGGACTCATTAGCTGGGGTATATCCACAATCTGGTGACAATTGACTATCACACAGAATTCAATTTCACGCGAAACAACAATCGTCCATGTCACATAGTCCACTAACAAGAAACATTAGGTAATGTCTCTAAGGAAATAAGTTAACAAATGATACATAGGCGACGAAAATAGCGACTAGTTGTTTACGTAGTTAAGCTAGTAAATAGTCTGATAGGTATCAGGTGTGTTATTTATTTTCCGACACCCTTTTATTATTAATGTTGTCGATTGTTGACGTTGAAATATACTCACGTTCTAGTCAGACTAGTCACGTGTTCTTGATATTAGTTGTGCTGAAACCTTGTATAATAGACACCGGAAGTGTATTATCTAGTGTAGATATTCATCTAAGGCAAATTATTGTCCCATTGATGTAAAGGAGAAAACTGAGAGTCATTTCAGTGGCGACGGTGATTAAAACGGACCTACACTCATATATTCAGTTAAAGTGCATTTTACATCAATAAAATGAATAATCTGAAATCATTATTGCAACAGCAAAGAGTATGTCGATATCTTCAAAAACCCAGGTACCTAATTCTATTATGATTTCGGATACTATTGCGAATTCAACAAGCGAATCTGTATTTGATTCAGAAGGGGAGAAATACTTTTGGGGGGTGGTTTAAGCGCTATGATTGCAAAAAGTGGGACAAAGGCTCAAAACAGATTATTACTATGAAAACTCAGAGTTTTTGAACATGAATAGTTTTGTAGTTTCATTCTCCCAAAGAATCCTGCCGATCTAACCTTCCTGGGAACAGTAGAGTGCCTGACACATATATTTGGGGGAACGATCATCAATTTTTCACACTAGATACCAGTGTGTTCAGCTTGTGAAAACATTATAGGACGACTAAGTGACGTATGCCAACATCGTGAACCAGAAATGTGGTCGGTTCCGTAAACAGGAAATGTCGCCAGACCACTTTAGATGTAATATTTTTGTGTGTGGGCTACGATCTGTAGTAGATAGACATCAGAACACGGATTTTAGCGGGGATCAACGTAGATCCCAATACCAGCGTAAAGTCAGCATCAGAAGAATGACAAAGGATGGTGAATTTGAAGCATGATACAAATCTGGTAGAGAGAAACAGTGCACATGCAGAAGACAGTGCTTTGCGAAAGTCTTTTAATGGAAATAATAATATGTAATTCTAGCGAATCTCATGCCGAATAAAGCCTAAGCTGTCTTGCTGGCAATGTGGCGAGTCTCATTTCGCTGCAAGTGGATGAAGGATATGGCAGACAATGATTCCTTAAGAGACTCTTTTTGTAAGTGATTGAGATTCCGATGAATTAGTCGTATAACAAATAGTGTATAAAGGCGGGTCTCATAAATGAAATTTACGGATCTAGTCAATACCAAACAAGTTAGCATGACATTCCCCAGAAATATAACATTTGTCGGTCATAGTCTTGTCACCCAGTTTGAGAGCTACCTGAATTTCTTCGACAAGAGTAATATCCGTCCCTGTGATACTCATAGCACTATAAAAGTAGGTTGAAATTTAAATCAGACAAGATTTTCCAAGTCTCCCTACTCATTTTACAGTTATTGTTACGTAACTTCGGCATCAACATGTTTTCATGTGTTGTAAAATTCTCCTACTAGACTTTCTATAGTAAATATTCATGCACTCTATCATATGACTTGATGATCCTAACATAACTGTTGTCATTATTCGCCTAATCTTCAATTTAAGATTATATAAATTACGTGCATTATTTGAACACATAAGTATTCGTACAAGGGGGACCGAATGCATATGCACCACACAAGTTACTTGATTTGTGTATGGGCTGTGTTACTACCCGGCTGCCCAGACCGAAGCAGGTTATTTTCTCTAGGTTATAAGTAACGGTTGATGCGAATCTATGACATTAAAGTGAACTCATCAGCTAAATTTGTTATTTTGCTTCATTAAAATGTGGATTTGTGAAGATTGTAGATCAGTTCATGCATTCAACTGTTAAAATTACTACAATCCTCACAAATCCTTATTCTCATAATAATTACATGCTCACTAGTGACTAACTTCAAAATGGGACTCCTGAAGTTCTAGTGAAAAGCCGTTACTAGTGGAGATACTTATCCACCTCAGATAATATATGAAGGGTTCGGCAAGAGCATGAATCAACCGAAGTTAGACATTAACACTGTTGGATGCCGGCTAGGTGGTCTAGAGGTTAAGCATTCGTGCGCGAGACCAAAGGTCTTGCGTGAAATATCATGAATGCACACCACTGAGGAGTCTCATACTAAGACGAAACGGAATCCAGTGCTTCCGGGTTTTCAATCGTCTTCTAGCCTAGGTCGACTCATAAATGCAGTTGTTAAAATTTTTGCTCTACTTAAAATTATAAACGGAAAAACCTCCACACTTCTGCAATTAAGTGTTTTTTAATTGTGTTTGAACAAGGACTCAAAGATTCTTCTTTATTTAATGAAATGAATCCGTTTCAATCCGTGTTATATGGGCTACTATGTGTATAGGAATTTCAATGGAATATTGAAATGGTCAATCCACAAAATATGGATACAAATACACTTCCTAGATTCAACTAAATACCTGAAAAGTAGAAAACAAAACAAAAACAACAAAATGTTCACAATCACACATATATATATATACATACATGTTCAGAACTTTTTAATCGACGTTGTGCTAAAACATGACCAATAGGACGTTGTCCATCAACATCAGCACAATTAGCATCAGCGCCTAATTCAAATAACAATGATAATACATTAACATTTGGAAATGTACAAATAACAAAACGACCAACAGTTGAAGTTTCTGGTGAACAAGCTAAATGTATTAAACTTTGACCACGATGTACTCTTGGATCTAATTTGACTAATCTATATACCTAAATAATAAATAATAAAAAAAATGTTAGTCAATAAATTGTAAACATAATTTCCTTTTTGACGAACAAAATTGATTAAATGCACAGACCTTACATTGTGCAAAGTCAATACAATACAAACTTATCGCTTCAATATTTTTAAATATTAATTGTAGAAACAATAAATTGCTCCCAAATGCCCTGGTACAGCCGAGAGTGGGGAGAGTTCACTCTCCCTCTCAAAATGCTTTCACATGGCCACGCGTATATAGCCTCTGCCAGAGAAGTCCTACTCACTGCCTTCTCGTCGCATTACTGTTGTTTACGAAATTGAGAAGACGAAAAGCAAATGTCCGGCGCTTTAACCGGGCCGGTGGACACGAGAAGTTCACCTGAGGGAGTTGGAAAACCCTCATTTCAAACCAATGGTGCACATGGGTTCCAGTATCCTGAGGGAACAAACGGCGTATGAATCAATCGTTGGTCACCGGCTACCATGGGACTGCATCTCCCCACTATGCTCCATTACCTTGTGGATCAGATCTTTGAGTCAAAGGCTCCGGATGTGTCCCTCTAAGAAAACCACCTGTTTCAATTTGGGTACCTGGGTAGTATCACAGCCCTCACACACATCAAATGAGATTTATGTGGCGCATATATATCTCGTGCCCTCTTGTACTAATATTTATATGTTTAAATAAATAAAAGAAACAAGAAATTAGTGTATTAAACATTAAAGAATTTAGCTATCAATCGTTAGGTCCCAAGTTTGAGATCAGCTTCGCTTAACATCATCTCAGCATCTAATTAGTAATTAATAACTTCTTGTACAAAACATATGATTTAATTTTAAGTACTTAAACTTTTTTTGGTAAATAAGTTGCACTAAAGTAATGGAAATCATTTAAAAACGGTGATCTGTCGAGTGACCTGTGATCAGTTAATGAACGAGAATAGACAGCCAGTTATGCTAAATACATAAGACGTTACACAATACTGAAAATTTCTTTCAACTAGTGATTTCACTATACTATACTCGGCATTTAAGCTAATAGACACCAAAGTCAGTTGAGGTATTGTATGTGTCAATAGATTATGAAAATTTATATTCCACTACAATTAAAATTTCGGTTGGTATTTGCCAACTTACATTACTTGTAGTGTAGGCGGGATACCTGTTTCCTGACCAAAGGAAGAGAGTGTCCTTTACAGTAGTACGCTCTATTCCACTTTATGGGTATGAGGATATTAGTAGGTCACCAGTATTCCATCATATAAATCTTCGAAGATATGATGGTACATAAATAGCGAGGTAGCGGGTCTTTATTGACCGAGATGGTTGGGATATTGTTATATCTAGAGCTTTGGTTCTTACTATGCCGCGTACTACTAGACTACTTGAACGATAGAACCCGCAACGTCGCAAGAGAAGACAAAAGACTAGTAAGTAGGAACTTTTATTCCCCAAAACAGTGTCAAAATATGATACAGAAATCTCGTGTATTTATAGTTTTTTGACTGAGAGTAAATAGTCATTTCAGACAACCAACAGGCGAATAAAGGTCATTCTTATCCATCGAATGGGGAAGCTACACGTCGACATTCTAGAATATTTCCCTAGCAGTGATTGGATGGAATGTCTGCGGCTCTTCCTGGGCTTCTTAAGGCTTCCTAGAGTCTACCGACGAGCTGTCCTTACAGATATATATGACATATCCTCACTCACCATCTACCCAGCAACCAAATGATAGCCGGTGTACATGTAGGTCCATAGTCCTGTAACCAAATTCAATAAATATTCATAGTACCATGAACTAATTTACCATCTTTAAAGATATAAAGTTATAGATTTTCATTATATAAAGAAGCAACTAACTTACTTGACGAAAAAATCGTTGTTTCAATTCAATTGGCATACGTTTTTTCATATCATTATTAGATAAACTATCCGTTTGTGATTCATTTTCAATATTATTACTATTATTATTAATGTACTCTTGTCGATTTAGCATCATATTTGATGAATTCAATGTAGAGTTTTGTAAGGATTCATTAAAATACTCTTCAACTACTTGTGTTAAATCTGGTAAATGACGTCGAATAGAACGTAATGTTGGTAAAGCTTTACAATTTGGCATATAATGAATAAGTATCATTGCTATAAAATGTAAACATAATGATACATGACGCATTAAATTAATTGCTTCTTTATCAGCTGCTGTATATGACCATGGATGTCGATGATGCCAATGATAAAATGAATAATCCATTCCACTAGTGTTGTTAATTGTTAAAAGAAGAAAATGAAAAAGGAAAAATGTATATCAGTACATACATACTACTCTGTTCAATAAATATACAGGTCAAGATTGTAAAAAACTACAAAAACTTTCGGAGTGTTCAATATATGATCTCCTTTTAACTACGCCCCCAAGTCCCAGTTAGGGTTATATATATACTTGCTTCATCTGTTTTTATTGTTTAAAACATGCAGGAAACCAAGTTCTCTAAAAACCCTTCCCATCGTTGTTGTTATTTCTCGTTTTCGAATAATGCCAGTGCCGCCACTTCTCACCAATATAATCTATCTGTGTTCAGAAAATAACTTTAGTGATTAGGGAGACTGGTGATATCGAGTGCTCATAGGATTGCTTGCAAGAAACTCATAGACCAAACCCTGTTGAATTCTCATAATACATTAATGGCCAGTGTCATTGCATGCTGGTTAGCGTTTTTTTAGCGAGTTGATTTTCTACAGGATGGGGTCGCTAACGCCATGCCCAACCCTCCTCATTTACCCGGGCTTGGGACCGGCAGCAACCCCCAGAGGAGCTACAGGCGGATCGGCAAAGCAAGAGCAGCATACCTACAACTGAAAAACATCTGGAGCTCAAAACAATTGTCAACCAACACCAAGGTTAGACTTTTCAATACAAATGTCAAGACAGTTCTACTGTATGAGGCGGAAACGTGGAGAACTACGAAAGCCATTATCCAGAAGATACAAGTGTTTAGTAACAGTTGTCTACGCAAGATACTTCAGATCCGATGGCCAGACACTATCAGCAACAAGTTACTGTGGGAGACAACAAACCAGATTCCAGCAGAGGAAGAAATCAGGAGGAAGCGCTGGAAGTGGATAGGGCACACTTTGAGGAAATCACCCGATTCGATCACAAGACAAGCCCTCACATGGAATCCTGAAGGCCAATGGAGAAGAGGAAGACCAAAGAACACATTACGCCAAGAAATAGAGACAGACATGAGAAGAATGAACAAAAACTGGATAGAACTAGAAAAGGCCCAGGACAGAGTGGGTTGGAGGAAGCTGGTCGGCGACCTATGCTCCATTGGGAGTAACAGGCGAAAGTAAGTAAGTAAGTAAGTCATTGCATGCGATTGTTCAATTGCTTGGAAACACGATAAAAGAAAGAATTCAGTGGTTATCTTTCAAAAAGGAATTCATGGTAAACAATATCATGAATATAGGAGGTTTTTGTAAACTTCCCATTTGTTTTTAATTAATCAATAATGCATATGATTCGTATTATTTGTTGAGTAGTGAAAAATACAAACAGAGACTTAGAGCTGATGATAAGTATGCTTTTCTCCATTTTGTCTATCCCATCTTAGGTGGGATGTAAAAAGGAACTATAAAACTTCATTAATTAAGCTTACCAAAATGAACCCCAAAAAAACAAGGAGTTTGCAGCTAACAGCATAACAAAAAATCAATATTTAATGGATTGACGACAAACTTTGGTTTTTATTTATTTATTCGAACACATAAATATTGGTGAGAAGGGACACCAAATACATATGCGCCACACAATAACAATGAGAATGTAAAGTGAGTATAATAAAAAGGAAAACAATAACAGACATATATTAGTGTATGATAGTGAACTAATAATAATGGGAGAGGCAGTTCAGTTAACAAAAGTACAATCAGAAAGAATTCTACCAGTTAAAGAAGTTACGTTTATTTTTTATGAAGTAAAAAAAAAAGTTACAAAAGGATCGTCACTGGCTTCTATTCTGAGCCCATATTTGATAAGGTCTGTAGCCACTGTGTTGCATCATCTCTAGGACCCCAACTAGGGAGTCGTGAATGACTAGCAAAAGCCAGTCTTATACAGCTTTCTTTCATACCACGATACCATGTCATACACTGATTACCTCTCCGCTTTTCTCAACTAGTCCTAGCGTCGGCAAATAATGCACGACGTGGAGTTCACCGGGACGACATTCGTAGAACATGTCCATGCCACCGAAGTCGGAGTTTCCAAATAATGACACTAACTGAGTTATCGTCACTGTGACCGAACACACGATGTCGAATCAGCCTGCTCCAAGCGAGTCAATCTTTCTCGGGTTTCGAACAGTCTACGGAGTATGACAGAACCCAATAGTTTGGACACGATTGGAAGTAGACTTATTCCACGATAGTTGTTACAGGAAAGACCTGAAAGCTTTTTAAAAATAGGAATAACTATCGACTCATCTCATGATGTTGGGACACTCTCTAATTGCCAGACCTTTGTAAACAACTCAGACAGTTTCTTAACGGGAAAATCACCACCATCTTTAGAAAAAGTTGGAGATAGACCATCTTAGCAATTAACGTTAGCATGTAAACTGCTCACGAAAACATAAGTATTAATCGCTCCAGAAGAAAACAACGTAGGACCAGGAACATATATGCATCGGTCCAAGTTGCCATACCTCATTAGAACAATAAGATGAACACCAAATACATAAAAGTAGTTAATTTAGTGGTGGTAATATATAAAAGAAAGATTGTATATCAGGATATAATACAGGTAGAAAGATATGAAGCAATTTTAATCCCACAGTTTAAGAAAAGATAAAGAGTGTATACACCTATGCCATTGTGATCGATTCTGAGCCATGTCACCACAGTCTTCAACCATTGGTTACGATAGTCACGTGGACCCCAACAAGGTGGTCTGCATCTACCAACATGGCTCAGATTAGAAGTTAGTGACTTCAACCACTGATGCCACGTTTTGGTCTGCCCCCCCCCAACTCTTCCAACCATCACCAATGCTAGTCAGCATAGCGCGTCGTGATAATCGATGTTTAGGCATACGTAACACGTGGCGGGTCAACCATCTCAGTCGATGAAGATTAACAACCTCATCGACTGAATTAACATCATCCCCTAATACCCTGTGTCTAACCTTACTATTACTTACTCGGTGATCGCAGCAGATGCGAGCAATATTTCTAAGGCATCTGTGGTCAAATACTAGTAACTTACGAGTATCTTCTACTCTTAATGGCTATGTTTCGCAGCCGTAAAGTAGAACAGAACGAACTGCTGCACAGTGTACTTGTCCCTTAATTGATAGATGGATATCTCGTCTTCACCATAGGTGACGTAAGAAAACACTATCTGCACCTACCAACACGGCTCACACCAGAAGTTAGTGACTTCATGGTCTAATGCCACGTTTTAGTTTAGCCGCCCCTAACTCTCTTCCAACAGAATATTACCAAAAATATATAAATATCATTATTCAATTCATAAGAGATCATATAGAAAATAAAATGATAATCATCATTAAAGGTTATCATCACTTACCGTTCAATATTATCTACAGCTAATTCTAAACAATCAACAATTAATGTTGGATCTAAATCTTTTGCTGGTAAACCAATACAATTATTTGTTAATACAAAATGAAATAATTCAGCAAAACTAACAAATGCAGCTTGTGATACATGACATAATGGTTCAACAAATGTACGTTGTAATTCTAATGCATAACGCCATAAACTTAAACATTGATGAAAATTATCAGCATCTGCATAAATTGCTCCACGATAACTATAAAAAAGGAGAAAAAAATACAAAACAGTAATGAATAAGAGAATTAGTAGTAGTATTATTATAGATCAGAAGGGGTTTTGTAGAGATTTCAGTATTTTCATAGTTGAAATCATGAGTCAATTGAAGCTAGACCACCATAGAAAACTTGGAAGCACTGGACGGCCGTTTCGTTCTATTGTGGGACTTCTCAGCAGTGAGCATCCACGATCCCGCCTCGCGAGATTCGAACCCAGAACCGATCAGTCTCGTGCCAGAGCACTTAACCGATAGATCACTGAGCTAGCCGGCATCCAATGGTGCTAATGTCTAACTTTAACCAATCTACGATGTTCGGGCAAGCGTTCACCAATTGTCTTCAGTGAGTTGATACCTCTACAACAGACTTGGTCGAACTCCACTAGTCACTGCTTCCCAATAGAACTCAAGGAAACATCCCTTGAAGTCAGTCACTAGTGAGCATATGATTATAGATCGGAAGGAAATTTGTGGAGATTCCCGTATTTACATAGTTGAAATCACGAGTCAATTGAAGCTAGACCACCATGGAAAACCCGGAAGCAGTGGATCGTGGATGCACAATGACGAGGAGTGCCATAATAGGACGAAACGGCCGTTTAGTGCTTCCAGGTTTTTCATGGTGGTCTAGCTTTAATTGACTGATGATTTCAACTATGAAAGTATTATTATAGACATATTTGTTTCTATGCAGTCGTGGATGTGTATTGAAACGTGAAATAATCTTTAAAAAAAACTGTTTATTAAGTATGTAATGTTAGATCGACAACTTAACTGATTTTAACAACTATTGAAAGCTAGAAAGGTACTGAATAGGGATGTTTCACTTTAGTATGCAACCCCACAACAATCCTCATCTACAGTCTAAAACGTTCATGTCATGTAACTAGATCAATGATAGTTGTTATTCTGTGGTGCATATGTATTTGGGGTCCCCTACATACAATGTTGATATGTTTAAATAAATAGATAATAATGACAGTTGTTGATGTGAAACTTTATCGTAATAGTACCCTATAACTTACTATAATGTATTAAAATATAAATGAATCATGACAAGGAAAACACTTTTCCATCAATATTTAACTCATTAAAAACAATAACATTTATTTACTTAGTATTGTTTATTTGAGTCTTCCCATTGATGTTTTAGGACAGCAACTGGTCAGTCTTTAACTGGCATATGTGCATACTGTGTGTATTGTCTCGATATAGCCTAAATTCACAAGCATGATAAGCAAAGATGGTTAGTGGCTAGCAGTGGAATCCAGTTTGATGCGCGTTTCGTCCTATTTGGGACTCGTCCGCTGGATGTACCTGCATCTCAGACTTGTTGTTCACTCTGGGACTCGAACCCAGTACCTTTCGATTCAAACGCCATCGCGTTATCCACTTGGTCACTGAGTCCTGATAGCCACTTGCTTGTGCAATCGGGTGAAGTTAAAATTCACTTAGTATTGTTTGTTTGAGTCTTCCCATTGATGTCTCAACATTTATTTATGCTTTCTTTACAATGTAGTAAGTAGATATGGGATTTAATGACATCTGTTGATTGCTCAAATCTTACGTAGATAGTAAGGGATTTGAAAGTCCAACTTATTGACATGGTCGATTAAAAGATTTAAAGTACATAATATTCAGTCAAAACCTCCATTCTCCTTTTAACTCCATACAATCTATTTCAATTTGAGTAGTCAGTTAGTATCACACCATCATATATAATGCGTATAGATTAAGTACATAAAACACTGAATCATTTGGTGTCCAGTCGAACGCTATGTGAAACCTGAGAAACGTTTACATCGCCTTAAGTTGCCATAACACAGAGAGATCAAATAGTCAGAGCAAATGATTGAGTGCCAGAAGTAGTGACAAGATTAATAGTAACAGAGACGGTTATGCATTGAAGATACAATTTGAGAAAATATAAATTAGAGAAATAAAAATGAAAAGACTTGTGGATAATTGAGAAGCTAAGAATTTGAGAGAAAACAAATAGTGTATGCACCCACGTCGTTATGAACGATTTTGATTCGTGTTATTCAAAGTTTCATGGGTTCAATTATCACGAGAGCCGCAGCCAGGTAGTCTAAACCTATTAACATGGCTCAGTTTAGTTGTCAATGACTTCGTGGACTGCTACCATGTTTTGGTTTAGCTGCTCCTAGCTCTCTTTCAGACTACTCTTCTATCAGGCAACACCACCCATAGAAGTAGGTGGTCCTTGAGCATACGCATCACATATCCTAGCCACCTCGATTAATGAAGAACTACTATCCCGTCAATCGATTTACCATCTTTAACTAGAGAGCCATTCTTAACCCAAGCATTCTTTACTCTGTGATCTCAAGGTTAATGAGTAATACTTCGAAGATGATCAAATACCAATGATTTACAAATATCCTCTACTTTCAGAGATCATGTCTCACACCTCGCAACGAAAACGAAGTGAAATACTGTACAAGAAACTCGCCACCCTTCGGTTGACGAACGGTTATTTCGCCTACCCCACAAGTAACACAAGTTGTCAAGAACCAAATAGCATGTTTGAGTTCCTGCATAAATTTCGTCGGTCATCAGCTCAATAGGACTGATGAGACATCTAAAAGAAGTGTTCGACACTCTCAACTACATTAATCAATCTACATTGATCCAGGCCAGTCCCGAAGCAACATTTTGCATTTGGAGGAAGAGAATCGCAGTCTAAACATGGTTGTTGCTTAAGGTGGTTAGAGGATTCTGAAATTTTTCATAATGTTCATCAAACAGAACTATATCATCTACGTACGTGTTACAAAAATTTAATATCAAACGGAAAGTGATAAAATTTTTCACGCTTCCTAGGAGATTTAAACATCCTAAACTCGATCGTTTACGTATTCGATGTCGTGCACATCATTTAGAGAATCTCGAAAAAAACTAGGACAAAACATCAGCCCGTTGATTTTCACCAACTCTCTGGCATTAATCTATGCGATAAAAACAACAAATTTATGTAAAATAAAACATTTTTTTTAATTACCGGATAAAATAAATAGTATCTGGATGATCTGGACCTAATATACGTAAACGTATAAGCAATGATTGTAAACGTAGAACATGTGTATTTGACATTAAACTAGCTAAATCTTCACGTGTTTGAAATTCACAAACATGTCCAAAAGCTTCTTCACCACATTGTTTCAATCGACGAATTAATGGATGATTTTCAGTAGCAAAATGACATATTGGACAAATATATTTAAGATTATTTTCATTCTGTTAAAAAAAAAATAATAATTGAACGAAAACATAATGAATAAATTAATAAAGGCGGTTGCCACTTCTCAGTTATCCACAATGATGAGAAAATACTTCTGATTGCGATAACTAAAATAAGAAATGTGTAGGGATTGATCCTGATGGTCTGATAGCGTGATAGTAACGCCAAAGAGATGATTTTTTGAGACTGGTTATACGCGGCTTTTTTTTCGAGTACTACTAGACGAGTTAGCTCCTTACTCTAAACGTTTAACCTCGGATATGGAAATACATATGGCAAGGTGAAGTATGCTTTTTCAATGTCGTCGTATTTTAATACCCTCAATCCATTATATGAAGGCAGCATCGTTGCACACTCTCGTTTCCTGAAAAAATACCCTACTTTCGTCACATCACTATACAACGTTGAAGATATGATTTGTTAACAAGTACCAATTAGTAAAAAAATCGATGCTAAACAGGGTTGACTGACGATATATGCGACCTGTTAACAAATGCATTAACTGGATCTAAAAGATAGTTGACCGTCTTTACATACATTACAAATCATGTTTATTATTAGTTAATAGTCAATGCAGAAATAGAATCTTTGTTTTGCCCTGATAATCTGTTGGATTTTATAAAATATATTTGAGCCTAATTTCAACAATTAAACCTAAAAGATAGAAGCAGTTGCTAATTGACCGTCAGTGGTATACTCTACCCGTTCATAATACCTCAGTAGCTCAGATAGTAGTAACCAACTAGATTACTTAGATTATCCTTAATAAAAACTTTCAATTTTAATTCAATGGTTTAATTGAGGTGTAAAATAAAATATGCTAGTCCAACCCATCTATTCGACATTTCAAGACTCTATCCCAAATGAACTAATGATCTTTCAACATCTAACTAGTCTAAATAGAATCAAATAGTAGCCAATATGGAACTCGCTTAGATGGGCTGTATGATGATTGAATCGTATCTCCTCTACCGATTATACACTAATCTTATTCATTTATTATTTCATTGCACTTATTATGTTGCTTCTGTTTGGATAGCACATACGTGTTTTGATACCTAATAGTAACAGAATTTATATGTATCAAAGAGGTATGGTGATGTTATCAAAATGTCTGAAATTGAATTAATTAGAGTGGGATTTGAACTTGTAATCTCAATAATTATCAGTCATACGTTGTTGAAATCAGAAAACCACCGTTTAACTGATATTTTTACTAGAAGGGTGTTTTATGGAGATTTTAGTAGTTTTATACAGTTGGAATTATAAGTCAATTGAAGCTAGTCTATCATGAAAAACCTGGAAGCACTAGACGGTCGTTTCGTCCTATTATGGAACTCCTCAGCAGTGCTCACCCACGATACCTCCTCGCGACATTCGAACCCGGGACCTATCAGTCTCGCGCCATAGCACTTAACCGATAGACCACTGAGCCGGCATCCAACAGTGTTAATGTCTAACTTCAACCAATCCACGATGTTTGAGCAACCACTCACCAATTGTCTTCAGTGAGTTGATATCTCTACAACAGACTTGGTTGAACTCCACTGGTCACTGCTTCTCACTAGAACTCAAGGAAACATCCCTTGAAGTCAGTCACTATTGAGCATATGAACACTATCAGAAGTGAGTTTTGTGGAGATATCATTATTACCATTATTACTGAATATATATTAATTTAAAACAATTAATGAAACTCACATTATCATAATTATTATTATTATTTGACTCGTAAGGATAAGATACTTTAGAATACTGATTTGTTGAATTGACTGTTTTATTATCGTTTGAAAAATTGGCTAAAATATGAAGACGAGAAAAGCAAAACAACTATGATATACAGAATGATGAAATTGTGTGTGCACGTACGTATGCATATATGTATGAATGTATGTATGTATGTATGTATGCATGCATGTGGGTGGGTGGGTGGGTGGTTAGGTAGGTAGGTAGGTAGGTAGGTAGGTAGGTAGGTAGGTACCATACCATACCTCGTCTTGTTATGCTAACGAGTTATGGCAACTCGGACCGATGCATATCTGTGCCTGATCCTACGTTGTAGCTGACTGACTGACTGAGATGGGTAAGTAGGGAGAGAGGTATATTTGGCAATTAGATTTTGTAAAATATGAAACCTATTTTGAAAAATATCATTTTCTATATTATTTAATTAAATTATTATGAAATTTATGTGATGAAATTTGTTTACCAAGTATATTGGTTTATGTATTATAGTATTGTGAGATAAACACTTGTGTTGTATAAGATAACAACCACCGATGAGAGAAGGCAATGAGTAGGACTTTCCTAAAAGTGGTTATATAGACTTAGCCATATGAGAGCATTTTGAGATGGAGATTAGACTCTCCTCATTTTTTTGGCCATACCAAGGTATTTGGGGGTCAAGCAAACCAGAAACGTCACTCAAAATATACAAGAATAGCTAAACTAAACACCTATTTTATTATTAATATAATACACGATAAGCGCTAATGACATCATAAGTTAACGTTAATCGCAATAACAATAATAACGTAGCATAATTCAAAAATAAACAACACATCCAGTTATTTTCATGGCTGAAATCATGAGTCAATTAAAGCTAGATCACCATGGAAAACCTGGGAGCACTGGACGGCCGTTTTGTCCTACTATGGGACTCCTCCAGTTATGTCCATTAAACATAGACTTGATAATTATTATACTATTTACCAAATGAATAATAATGAGATTAAATAGAAAGTATGATATAAAACTGATAAATCAACTGGTGACGCTATGAATTTTAATTGATTAAAAGAGTTGGGACAATTCTTACATCACACCTTGTCACTCTCAACCCTGAAGTTTTTTATTTGATTTTATTTAGACACATAAATATTGGTACAAGGAAGCACCAGATACATATGCGCCTCAGGAATCTCATTTTATTTGTGCGAGGGCTGTGATACTGCACAGGTACCCAAACTGAAACAGGTGATTTTTTTAGGGAGCCACACCCAGAGACTTTGACCTAAAGGTCTGATCCAGTGCAGTGGAGTATGGTGAGGTGATGCAGTCCCATGGTGGCCGGTGACCAACGATTGATTCATTCGCCATTTATTCCCTAAGGATTTTGGAGCACATGTGCAGCATTGGTTCGGAATCAGTATTAGATATCCGGGAAATAAATATTACGTCCTAGATACTGAACCTATAATCCCCCATAGGCCTAGACATTCATCAAATGTTGTCGTTACATTCCACAGATTGACCAATCCACATGTTTGTGTGGATACATATACATAGGGAGGAATGATCGAACAATCCAATGAACGGTGATGGAACATGTGCCTAAATGGCTTGAAAATCAGTTAGTGTCAAATGCTCCGATAAACGTAAAAAGTAGAAAACCCCATTCATCGATATAAAAACATGTAATTGAAACGGGGCATAGAATTGATAACAATAGTTTTTAAAACATTGTATAGAAATTGTCAAGGACGAATTTTCAGGTTTATGAAGGCTTTGGTTATTAGAAAATCCAAACCCCTCTTTATGCACACAGAAACAATATGTAGTAACCTTGAATTTGCCCTGACAATATTTAAACCAGTTTACAACCTAAGGTAATGTGACAATTTCCTATTCTTCACATATTATATTAGTTTGCTTTTCTTCTTTGTTTATAATTATCACTTTAGGTTTACTCGACCTTTTCTTGAATTGACCATCTTTTTTTTCTAGATATAAATGGATTGACAAGTATATGTGTCATCGCCCCCAAATGCTCTGGTACGGTCGAAAGTGGGGAAAGTTCGCTCTCCCTGTCCAAATGCTCTGACAAGGCCATGCGTATATAGCCTCTACCAGGGAAGTCCTACTCACTGCCTTCTCGTGGTCAGAAAGTTGTTTACGAAATTGAGAGGATAAAAAGCGAATGTCCGGCAGGAGCTTTGACCGGGTTGGTGGACACGGAAAGTCCATCTAGGGGATTTGGAAAGCCATGATTCCAAACCAATTGTGCACATGGGCTGGCTCCAGTACCCTGAGCGAACAAATGAAGTATGAATCAATCGTTGGTCACCGGTTACCATAGGACTGCGTCTCCTCACGATGCTCTACTTCCTTGTAGATTTGGCCTTTAGGTCAAAGGCTCCGAGTGTGGCCCCCCAAGGAAACCACCTGTCTTAGTTTGGGCACCTGGGCAGTATCACAACCCTCAACAAATCAAATGAAATTTGTGTGGCGCATATATATCTGGTGCCTCTTTGTACCAATATTTATGTGTTTAAATAAATAAATAAACATGTCATCAGATCGTTCGGAATGTATAACGCGAATACATCTTACTCTTTCAAGTCGAATAGTCTTTTCACTGTTCTATCATGACGGATATTGTCCACTCATCTGTAACATCTAATCACATTTATATTTTTCTGTTAATATTTTGTTCATAAGAGTGTTTTCTATTACAGTGAAAAATCTAATCCATTGAGCAAATGTTATCTTGTCTTCTGATATCAGTTTAATTTGGGGCGTGCATCAATAACCTAATCTCGTGAGTAGTTTATACTCGATCACATTGTAGCATTCCACAATATTACTAACTAATTATTTGCATTGTGTCGAAAAATATCTAAGCCTTAATTTAGTACATGGTATATATATTTATAATTTAATATACTTTTCTATGAAAAAGATATTATATTAGATGGTAAATGTACAGAGTGGTGGATCAGCGATTCGGATTCCTCATCAGTCAGTGGTCTTGAGTGCTGTTAAAGGTATGAGGGCAGTTATCAATTCCCGGTTGCCCACACCATGGAAGGGTTCTTTTTAGAGGTACCTGAAAAGGAAATTGGGTTAAAAGTGATCTTAATGACCTGGGTGACCGCAGTGACCAAGGGACAACTGCTTGAGGTCGGTCACACACAACCTTTTGTGGGGGATTTTTGACGTGTTAGCTCCGTTCTTCAAAGGACCTTACCGCCGGAGACGGATGTCCGTGGGATAAGGCGAGGTGTGCATTTTTAGGGTCGACCTTTCCTAAGGCAGCATCGCTGTTATGCTGGTTGTCTGAAGGAAACACCTTACTGCTGTCACACCTCTATACAGTCAACAGTAAGACTTCGCTTTCGGATGTTGGGTTTGCTGCTTTTCGTCTTACCGCTATTCAACCGACCTGTCTGGCATGGTAGGACCTTGAGGAACGATTGTTGCAGCCAGTATAGCTTGATTGGTTCATCACGATAGGCAAGCCCAACCACCACGTCAAGGTAGCAGCAACGGTCGGGGATTCCTCATCACTTTAGCTTGACAAGCCAGATAGAATTACTAGATTTTGTACACAAGCTTAAAACTATGTATGGTTTTGTATACACTGATGAAGCAGGATTACCAATTAAATGAAGAGATATAGTAAAAGGAAGAAAGTTATAAGTAACTTACAAGAATGATTTGGCATCAATGATGTTTTACAAATGGGACAAATGGATTGATTTGAAAGTAGACTTTCTTCATTTAAATAAATATTATTCATTGAAACGAGTATTTGCTTACAATTAGGACATTGATTTATAGTTTTGGATGGAATGAAACTCTCTGTACTATTATTATTCAATATGTTACTAATGTTATTATGGCCAGGTGTTGTCGAAGATCTGATTTGATAATTTTGATGATGAATAGGCTCTAGAAGCCATCGGCGATATCGTGCAATTTGACAACATTTTGGTTCAAAGCCTAGAATTGGATCCACAGGTATGACAGATTGAACAAAAACACCACCACCAGCAGCACAACTGCTATTCTGATGTCCTGTCGTTGATAGAGGCGATGAAGAGGAGGAGGATGAAGATGTACCAAAATTCAAAGAATTCGTTGGTGATGGTGATGATCTATAAACACTTTGTGATAATATTGAACTAGTAGGAGAAGATTGATCAAAATATTCACTAGAACCATTACGACGTAAACCTAAACGTGAATTATGAGAACCTTGTAGAAATACTGAACAAAATGATGGTGATTGTATATCAGAAGTATAATCTTTTAATGAATTTGAACGATATAATGAATGACCTAAATGTTCAAATTTACATTGATATGCATTTTGTAAATCAGTTTGTAATTTTTTATATTTTCTTTGAAATAATTCATTTAAATCTTGTGAATATTTTGTGGTAGACTTTTGCCTTCGAGTGGATTGATGAAGTGACTTATGATGATCATGATGATGATGATGATGATGAAATTTTGTAGAATTATAACTTTTAGATAAAATCTCTTGAATTCGCGTAGATCTTTTATGACGTTGCCAATTAGATGTTAGCGAATAATGTTGTTCATCAAATCGACTAGTTTCAGCCATTCCAATTGCTTCACGTGCAGCTAATGAAATTAATGACCAACAATTATTGGATGAATTAGTAGTTGAAGTAGTATTGGTTGTCGTTGTAGATTGCCCTTCAACACATGACATCGATTCATTCATACAAGAGCATTGTGGTACTGGATATGGAATAAATTTATTATTACCACTATTATTATCATGACCATTATTATTATTATAAGTAGATAATTCTTGGCGTAAATTGATTGCATGATACCAAGCAGCTATAGCATCCTGAATTAATGAATGTCGATCGAATAGACTAGCACCAAGTAGATCATATGCGGCAGCTTTTTCACTAATACTAATTGTTTGTGTTGAATCAGGAATTTCAACAGTAGCCAAATAATCTACAATCTATCAGAGTTGAATTTTTCAAATTCAGGAGAAAAAAAAAAGAATGTCCTTGATGAGTATCATTAGGGTTTGTTAATTAACTATATAAGTTATAAATGATGTCATTATATATTTATTAAACATAGGTCATTATCAACATGTTATTGATGCTGGAGTCGATTGAATTAGGGATCCGAGAGGGGGGGGGTTATAAACTCGAAGATTGTTAATAAAGTTTAATGATACGTCAGTAAGATGAATGGTAGTGAAAGAGTCAGTACTTCTTTACCTATCGGATCATAACCGCTTTTAAAGACTCTGTATTCTAGATGTATTCCTTCAAAATCGCTGTTTACAGACCATCTGGAAATTTATATATAAACAATTGTCCTTAACTCATAGACAGATGTAGAAGACTTTAAAAAGTAACCTACTAAACACTAATAATGCACATTATCGCTGACATTTTTACACAACGAACTACACAAACCGCAAATTCGACAATGTACTAAGAAACATTCTGGTAATAACTTAACAAATACCCGAAGGTTACAAGCAATGACAAAGCCTAACAAACAACTAATGAAATATATTCAGTATAAATTGATAATATCACTTCCGATTGTTATATCCTAGCGAAGACATAAGTACGGGTAACTTCCGGGACCTATTCATGGACTATTATTATATATATATTCTTATTTTTTAACTGTTGAGTAATTAGATTTGGTATATCTATATTTATCTTATTATAAGCTTCATTTTGACCCATGGACTACCATTATACGAATTACCGTTCCTAAATTATACTCAGTTTATTGATTACTGTCTCCCAGGTTCACAGCCACATTTGGCTGGATTTTGTACAAATATTATTTTTTATTTTATGGTATGATGCCGTCTGTTTATCTGGTATATAAACCAAGTATGTTTGAAATAAAAGATTCGCATAACAGAAGCTGTCATTGGTGTTCTGGACTCAATTGGAAGGGCTAGGCGGACAAAGAACCAATAAGGACGCTAGACTATTCATATCAGTCGAACGTCATTGGTTTGGCATAGTGCTAAGATTGGATAAGTCGTATTTTGATTGGTGGATAAATCATATGATAAAAGCCGCGCATAAAACCACAACGAATCAGCGACGGCCTTTTTAAAATCATAACACCGATTATAATCTCTGACATTTAGTTCGATAGTGATATACTATTTCACTGTATCTTGTCAAAAGTGAACAATGCAACAAACTAACTTTTTTGAAAGCTGCATTCGCACCGGACATAATTGGTAATTGACCATATTCATCTTTACGCATAATAGCTCGATGATTTAATAATAATTGTAAACATTTCAGATTACCACTTTCTGTACAATCATGTAATGCAGTATTACCTTTGAAAAGAAAAGTAATAGAAAACGAAACATAAATTAAAAATACAAAAGCTGAATTGAAGTGAAGTATGCTACAGGTAATCTCTTGCCTCTATGAAGTGAATACGTTAAGGAGTTCGACTTTCAATCAATAAGCTGCAAGTCCAGACCCACTCCATCTACTATGGCTAGGATAACCGAGTAATAGTATATCAATAGTTCTCATAATTAAAGTATGGCTTGAAGCCAAGTACATGGTTCTGTACATAGTAAATGAGTTAACAATGACAATAAAAAAAATCTCCCACCTATTACACACCAATTTCCTTTGTAGAACAATTTAGTATATTTGAATCATTGGTTAGAAACAATGGTCTCCAATTCCAATTCACTTGATTTCTACGACAGATTGGAACCTATCTACTATCAGTAAGGTGATTAAGACATTTGTGAACAGATCATATTTCAAAAGTCCATTGTTTGCATCAGACTGTTCAATATTCTCATCAAGATCAGTGTACATACATGATCAAAAAATTTATCAATCTTAGTGGACACTTCTAACGTACACTTCTGATGAACAATAACCATTATTAGCAAGGATGGATAGTGGCTAACCGTGGAATGCGGGACGCGCGTTTCGTCCTATTTGGGACGTGTCAGTTGGATGTACCTGTATCTCAGACTTGCTGATGTTCACTCTGAGACTCGAACCCAGTATCTTTCGCTTCAAACGCCATCGCGTTATCCACCCGGCCACTGAGTCCTGACAGCCACTTGCTTGTGCGATGGGGTGAAGTTTGAATTCACTTAGTATTGTTCGTTTGAATATTCCCATTGATGTTTAGGACTTCAATCGATCAATCTCTTATTGGCATATGTGCACACTGTGCGTAACGCGATGGCGTTTTAAGCGAAAGATACTGAGTTCGAGTCCCAAAGTGAACATCAACTCTGAGATGCAGATACATCCAGCTGAAGAGTCCCAAATGGGACGAAACGCGCGTCCTGCATTCCACTGCTAGCCGCTATCCGACTTTGCTTATAATGTTTGTGAAATAAGGTTATATAAAGGCAATACGCACAGTATGCACATATGCCAATAAGGGACTGACCAGTTGCAGTCCTAAGCATCAATAGGAAGATTCAAACAAACAATACTAAGTGAATAACCATTATTATCGATTCTTGAAATAATTTCGCCTTATATACAATCGTTCTTCATCATCAGCTACAACATAAAAGCAAATAGCTACTTTTTACAATATTGTATTCATAAAACAAAACATGATGTTTTTCATTGAATAACATCGATTCTCCTAGATTCTCTTGTGATTGACATTTTGCAAAAAGATATTCAATCATTGAGAAATTTATACTGAATACTACTTATGAATTTCCGATTTCCGTCATGTCGTATACTGCACTCTGGATATATATTGATAATAACACCAACTTTACGTTTCTCATTGAAGCTTGAAATAATGATTTCATGTTCTTACATAGTGGTTAGGGCATTCGAATCTCTGAACGTTAACGTTTCGAGTTCAAATCCCACTCGCTACACTTCAATTTGATTAACTGGATGGTAGTACTTCATGATTTTCTCCAGGAACCGACATTTGTGAGATAATTACAGGGAACTGAACAACTGATTCATCCATGTATGGAACTCCTCAGCAATGTGGACCAACAATATCAGATCAACCGTCAGTCGATTCGATATTCTATGGCTTAGGCGCTCTCTGACAGACCTGAATGCCATAGGTCCAACCCCCGAATGGATAAAGGATAACCATGACTGAGAAGTTGTATACTGAGACGAAACAACTGTCAAGTTCCTCCTCTTGGTTTTTAATGGTTGCCTAATAAAAGTCAGTTTGTTAAACCATGTAAACCATACAACTCAGAAATTTCCATAAACTCATATTAAAGACAGTAGCATAGCTGTGACCTAAACAAAAGCATATCTAGAGTTCGATTATTAAAACTTGGTACCTGTGTACTACTACTAATTATATTTATTAATAACGTTATTATTATTATTATTAAAGTCCTGTAAGTAGAAATTAATCACGCAAATTTTTCTTTCGAATATCTCATGTAGGTATGATATTATTACCAAGCAAATTTTTGTAGTAGTAGATCTTGGATAACAATAACACACATAACGGTAAAAAATAACGATATATCGTTTATTAATTAAAGTTAGACTTGTACATCGTCGGATCGCTCTTTCAGTGGTGTCGAGTTTAAGCTTTCACGCGCATAAAATCGAAGCTCGTGGATTCAGTTCTCGGACGTTAGGTCATGGATACGCACTGCTGAGTAATGTTATATTGAGGAGAAAAAGTCTTCCAGTACTTAGAGATTTTCAATGGTTGGTGGTTTAGCTATTATAAGTTCGTGATTCAACCTATGGAAATTTTACAATCTCTACAAATCCCGCTATACTGATGTGATAAATTTCCCTGATCATTAATAGTGCAGGAGCAATAGTTTATTGGTTTAAAGCCCTTCAATTTTTAGCTGTTTAAGACGCATAATTTCAAGATCCGTTCCATACTTCCTACAATAGTGGACAACTAGTTAGTAGTAGAATTAACTGCTAGGCTATATGTCTGGTTTGAAATTTATATGTCTAAAGTACATAAATTGTGATGCTTTCGAAAACCAAAATAAAAATGGGTCACTTAAATGAATCAATAGTGTTGTTATGAAATAAATGGGAGAGGAGATGAATAGCCAATGAAGAAATGAATATAATTGATATTTATTGATAGCTACAGTTTATTTGAAGTACGCAAAGAAAGGATTCTTTCAGTTAGAAAAGATCATCTTACTATTATAAAATTTGGTCGCAAATTACATCAGGATCGCGATTGAATTCTATTCTAAGAAACCCGATAATGCTCGAAGCCACTGAGTTGCTCCATCTTTAAGACCTCCACTAAGGAATTATGATGAACTGACAGTAGCAATCATATACAGCTGCCTTTTTTACCATCCCAACAATATCAGATCAACCGTCAGTCGATTCGATATTCTATGGCTTAGGCGCTCTCTGACAGACCTGAATGCCATAGGTCCAACCCCCGAATGGATAAAGGATAACCATGACTGAGAAGTTGTATACTGAGACGAAACAACTGTCAAGTTCCTCCTCTTGGTTTTTAATGGTTGCCTAATAAAAGTCAGTTTGTTAAACCATGTAAACCATACAACTCAGAAATTTCCATAAACTCATATTAAAGACAGTAGCATAGCTGTGACATAAACAAAAGCATATCTAGAATTCAATTATCAAGAATCGGTACTTCTGTTATGTAGTGGACGAGAACACAAGTGAGGACAACCACATGTCCACCCAGAACCCAGAACCCAGAACGTCCAACGCCTGCGCTCCACAGACCTGCTGAGCCATCTACATCCAATGTCCGCCTAGCAGCCGCACGTCCCATCGCTCCTCTCCGTGAACAGCACGTGCTACAGCGAACACCGCACCACCAGAACACTCCACTCGACGTCACCTTCCTGCACCAGACTGCCCCGACTAGCACTTCAGCTCCAGATCCCCAACGGCGTCAACAGAATAGCACTTTTCCCCCCTTTCCTGGTTGGTAGCGACACCAAATGTAGTGAATAAGAATACAAGTGGGGACAACCGACTGTATTTCAACACAAAATTACAGAATCTCTTAGTAAACACTGAGAAGCATACAACAAATTCTTCATTTGCAAAATGTTAATCACATGTCTCAAACATGATTGTTCTTTCTGCAAAATGTCAATCAATCGTTTCAGACTTCATTGTTCTTTCATCACACCAATCACTATCTGTTCTCGCTCTCCATAATTCGATCTTCTTAACCTTCTACCACCAGACATTTCACTTTTGATTGACGATATATACTACTTATATCTGTCAACATCAATCGCACAGACCACAGTACTACTACTAATTATTATTAGTATTATTATTATTATTAAAATCGTGTAAGTAAAAATTGATCACGTAATGTTCTCTTTTGGATATCTTATGTAGATATGAAATTATTGTCAAGCGAAAAATTTTGTGCTTATTAAACTAGTGCGTTATAAATCGATTTTTTCGCTCTCTCTCTCTCTCTCTTTCTCTTTCTTGTTCTCTTCATCGATTTATACATAATTGAGAAAATTAAACTGAAAATGTAATTGATTAAAGCTAAAAACGCAAATGACATCAAGTGATTTTATTTTGTGTGTGTGTGTGTAGTTATCTAACATGTCACTAGTAATCAAATTGAATACAAGCCAGTAACCAAGTACATAACTTGTATCTTATTTATTTATTTAAAAACATGAATATTAGTACAAGGAAGCACCAGATACATATGCACCGCACAAATCTTATTCGATTTATGTGAGGGCTGTAATACTGCCCGGGTGCTCAAACAGCAGTAGGTGGTTTACTCAAAGGACCACATCAGGAGCCTTCGACCTAAAAGTTTAATCCACAAGGCAATGAAGCATCGTGAGGAGATGCAGTCCCATGGTAGCCGGTGACCAACAACTGGTTCATACGCCATTTGTTCCTTCAGGATACTGGAGTCCATGTGCACCATTGGTTTGGAATCAGGGTTTTCCAACTCCCCTAGGTAGACTTTCCGTGTCCACCAAACCAGTTAAAGCCCCCAACGGACATTTGCTTTTCGTCCTCTCACCTTCGTGAACAACACCCCTGCCACGAGAAGGCAGTGAATAGGACTTCCCTGACAGACGCTATATACGCGTGGTCATGTGCGAGCATTTGGAGAGGGAGAGCGTACTCTCCCCACTCTCGGCCGTACCAGGGCATTTGGGGGCCGTATATAATATATATATATATATGTTTGGGCCATCAAACCACTGGGCCATCTCTGCTATCACTACAATATTAGTTTGCTTATAAAATGCTATGTTTACAGCACATCGGCTAGAACAGTTTTGCTCATGATTTCTGAAACTTGGCTCCCTCGCGCTGATGTTGTTTGATGGGCTTTTAGTTCCATCATCGATGTCTCCAAAGGAATGCTGTGATCCGGTAGTAACACCAAGTTAATAATACCGACATTCGGTATAATATGTTCAAGCACAGTGGTAATGATTTAATTGATAGCACTATTATAAAAGAGTGACTTTAGTGTCTTGATTATGTCTTACAAATTTTATCCGAATCGCATACTATTTTCTGACGCAGGGACTGGGTAGAAAGAAGGGAAATGTGGCCAATTTATGACAGAGTGGGATGGTAAAAAAGGCAGCTGTATATGATTGCTACTGTCAGTTCATCATAATTCCTTAGTGGAAGTCTTAAAGATGGAGCAACTCAGTGGCTTCGAGCATTATCGGGTTTCTTAGAATAGAATTCAATCGCGATCCTGATGTAATTTGCGACCAAATTTTATAATAGTAAGATGATCTTTTCTAACTGAAAGAATCCTTTCTTTGCGTACTTCAAATAAACTGTAGCTATCAATAAATATCAATTATATTCATTTCTTCATTGGCTATTCATCTCCTCTCCCATTTATTTCATAACAACACTATTGATTCATTTAAGTGACCCATTTTTATTTTGGTTTTCGAAAGCATCACAATTTATGTACTTTAGACATATAAATTTCAAACCAGACATATAGCCTAGCAGTTAATTCTACTACTAACTAGTTGTCCACTATTGTAGGAAGTATGGAACGGATCTTGAAATTATGCGTCTTAAACAGCTAAAAATTGAAGGGCTTTAAACCAATAAACTATTGCTCCTGCACTATTAATGATCAGGGAAATTTATCACATCAGTATAGCGGGATTTGTAGAGATTGTAAAATTTCCATAGGTTGAATCACGAACTTATAATAGCTAAACCACCAACCATTGAAAATCTCTAAGTACTGGAAGACTTTTTCTCCTCAATATAACATTACTCAGCAGTGCGTATCCATGACCTAACGTCCGAGAACTGAATCCACGAGCTTCGATTTTATGCGCGTGAAAGCTTAAACTCGACACCACTGAAAGAGCGATCCGACGATGTACAAGTCTAACTTTAATTAATAAACGATATATCGTTATTTTTTACCGTTATGTGTGTTATTGTTATCCAAGATCTACTACTACAAAAATTTGCTTGGTAATAATATCATACCTACATGAGATATTCGAAAGAAAAATTTGCGTGATTAATTTCTACTTACAGGACTTTAATAATAATAATAATAACGTTATTAATAAATATAATTAGTAGTAGTACACAGGTACCAAGTTTTAATAATCGAACTCTAGATATGCTTTTGTTTAGGTCACAGCTATGCTACTGTCTTTAATATGAGTTTATGGAAATTTCTGAGTTGTATGGTTTACATGGTTTAACAAACTGACTTTTATTAGGCAACCATTAAAAACCAAGAGGAGGAACTTGACAGTTGTTTCGTCTCAGTATACAACTTCTCAGTCATGGTTATCCTTTATCCATTCGGGGGTTGGACCTATGGCATTCAGGTCTGTCAGAGAGCGCCTAAGCCATAGAATATCGAATCGACTGACGGTTGATCTGATATTGTTGGTCCACATTGCTGAGGAGTTCCATACATGGATGAATCAGTTGTTCAGTTCCCTGTAATTATCTCACAAATGTCGGTTCCTGGAGAAAATCATGAAGTACTACCATCCAGTTAATCAAATTGAAGTGTAGCGAGTGGGATTTGAACTCGAAACGTTAACGTTCAGAGATTCGAATGCCCTAACCACTATGTAAGAACATGAAATCATTATTTCAAGCTTCAATGAGAAACGTAAAGTGGGTATTATTATCAATCCATTAAGAGTGGAGTGCACGACATGACGGAAATTAGTATCATTAATTGGTTTAAAATGCAACTAAATAATCGAACACCGTACATATTCGTATGTCCAATTTCAAATCATGCCGTATTCTTCATAAGAGCTGCTACTAATAAATGAAACAAGTCTTGAATCTGTGGTCCAATGATTGAAATCTGAATACACTATCTACGGAGTCACGAATTCATTCACTATCCTTTAATATAACATAAATAATTTTAAAATATCATCAGAAACGATTGTTGAAAGTTGGGGAGAGTGGTCATTGAAGATAACAATGATTTAAGTGTTTATCTTTTAAAACAAAATATCATCGAATTACAATTTTGATTGATATAATTCATTCTGAGTAATTTGTTAGTTGTATACTGGATTTCATAACGCATTTATGGCTAATGAGCGGTGTGTTACATACGCTAAGTTGGTTTACAGTAATCCGTTCAACTAAGTATGAGTTTCTCTTTGTTCAGTAGACGCGAATAAATCGAAATTTGATAGGAAGACCATCATATTCCACTGATGAATCTGTCATGATTGACCTTAATTACATTAAGTTTGGAATAAGGTAAATTAACTTAGTCGCCACGTACTTTCTTATGAATCACACTGTAAGCGTAAGAGTTAATGATACAATCTGTTTGTCCAAAGTGAAGTAGGTATACCAGGTTTCGAACCTGGAATTGAATGGTCAAACCCCCTAACTACTAGGCTATCGCTCTACGCCAAGTCCGTATACGTTCTTGTAATTACCAATAAGTGTGCCAAAAACGAGAATTCAATCTTTAAAATTTATTTGACATGAAATACTAGCAATCTGAGAGATTTATGTTTGGTCCTATATGGAATTGTAGATGTATACTGCTGAATAATATCAAACTATCTCGAGTAGTCAAGTGTTCCTCAGTTTCCTACAATTTTCCAGGCAATATTAGTTTGTAACCAAAACTGACTTCAAATTATGTTAGCCTATCGTGTCACTGTGTCATTGACTTTCGTTCATTTACCGATAAATCGTAATTAGCATGAAGCATATCATTATTTCATTCATGTATGACTGTATCAAATTGTTAGTTACTTAAAAGATAGACATACAAATATACAAGGAAATCTATAGACTAACCTTTAGCACTTCTTCGATTAACTCGAGCATTTTTACTAAGTAGATATTCTACAATACTATCATGACGACGATAACAACTAATCATGAGACAAGTATGACCGTGACGATTTGGATTTTCAATATTTGCTCCATGTTCAACAAGATATCGAACAACCTTTGCAGAATGAAAAAAAGAAAGAATTATCTCTTTTTTTTAAAAAAAAAGTACGAATCTTGTACAAGGATGCACTAATTCCAAGTTACCACTTACCATACACTCAACCATGGTTTTACTCACTGTATCACCATTGAAAAGAATTAGAGCTGTCACTCTGTTAATCATCTTAACGGTGTTTTGAGCAATCCGTTTTGGCACATGTGGATTCTGTAAGGACTGGCTCCATATAGATGTTATGTAGTAAGTTTTTCACAAAGCAGATGGATTAGTGTCTAGCAGTGGAATTTGGATGTGTCGTTTTGTCGTGACTGACACTCACCAGTTGCATATACTAGTACGATAATGTTAATATTCACACCTAGATTTAAACCCATTCCCTTTCGTTTCAAATGCCCAATGCACAAGCGAATGGTTATCTGGACTCGATAGTTCAGTAAATAAAGCATTGGGCATTTGAAACGAAAGGGAATGGGTTTAAATCTATGTGTGAATATTACCATTATCACACTAGTATATGAAACTGATGAATCCCAGTCACGACGAATTGACACACATCCAAATTCCACTGCCATACACTAATTCATCTACTCACTTCAGTCCCATCAGATACAAACTATGCTCCGAAAACGCTTATTCAAACACTTGAAACCTACGCATATTTTATCTTCCCATCATCATTCGGTAAGCTTCTTGACAATAACACAAAGTGTACAGTATGCTTTTGTTTTACAGAGACAAAGAAAAAGTTTATCAAGTTTGAGAATAAATAACGTATAGAAATTGATGATTTAAATCGATCAGTTCAAAAAAAAAGCGACTGCATATCACTCAAATTTTAACATGGAAAAGTTTGTAAACATAAAAAAATCAAGTGATCATATGTTGCTGAAAAAGAAACATACTTGTTCATGTCCATCAAAACAAGCAGCACGAAGAGCTGTTGAATTAGTAATTGTTGTTCGATTAACGTCTGCACCACGACTAATTAACAATTCAACTAATTTTAAATGTCCAGCTGCTGAAGCACACCATAATGGAGGTACACCTTCTACTTGTTCACCTTCAAATTCTACAACACCAACCTAAGGGAAATATACGAGCAAAAAAGAATGAGTTACCCTTCATTATGCAAATTCTATGACCACAAATTTAAGTAAGATACATTTTTAACAAAAACATATGTCCAGTAATATGATATAATATTATATTATACGCCCATTTTTCCTGTCACCACAATAAGGATCATTTATGACTGCTGATATAGCAAAGATGGAATGTGGCTACTAGTGGAATCCAGAATGCAAGTTTCGTCCTATTTCTGACTCGTCAAGTGAGTGTACTTGCATCCCAGAGTTGATGTTCACTTTTGAGCTCAAATATAGTACCGTCTGCTTCAAACACCATCATGTTATCTGCATGGCTACCGATTCCAGGTAGCCACTCAATTGTGCAGCAGGCATGAGGTTTAATTAAATTTGAAATGGTTTAGATTATCCTTTGTTGTTATTTCTGACTGAAATCCGATCAGTCTTGATTGCCATATGAATCCCGTAGTGAAAAACTCTGGAATACAGATACATCCAGCTGACGAGTCCCGGATAGAACGAAACGGGAGTTCTGAATCCCGCTGCTAGCCACGTTTCATCTATTCCATATCAAATTGTGTCGTAATGGCTATATCGAGGCAATCCATGCAGTATGCCCATATGCCAACCAAGACTGATCAAATTTCAGTCAAAAATATCAATAAAGAAATAATCAAAACCACTTAAAATTGAATTACATTTGTGGTTGTATTGTCTCCTAAGCTTTTCCTCAGCAATGGTCAATTGGTTAAAGGATTCGGTTTCGAGCAAGTCTGTGTTGTAGTTTTGAGACCGGCTTTACTTTGGTGTGGACTGTCAGATACTATCATTATCCTTTTTACATGGAATTTATTGGTTGAAACTAAACACATGAACATGCGCTTGCTTACTGGATTGTATTTAATTAATTCTCCCACTCCACAATGTATTTACGAAAATTCTTGAATAATTGGGTTTAGAAAGGTCAAGACGTTATTGTGAGAAAAAAGATTACTGCTAAACGTGTATGCTACATAAAGAAGTCCTTGATGTAAAACGAAGAAAATATAAATTTTTACTTTTTATGATTGTTATTCCAAGTCAGTCGTGGTTAATGTATGGTCAGACAAAAATGTGTACCGGCTCAATCTGCAGATACTGTGTCCGCTCCTATTTACTATTGAAGTCACTAACTCCTAGTATGAGCCATGTTGGCAGATGCAGGCTACCTGGTTGGGGTCCGCGTGACTATCGTAACCAATGGTTGGAGACTCTAGGTGACATGGCTCAGATTCGATCACAATGGTGTAGGTGTATACACTCTTTATCTTCCCTTAAACCTTAAGATTAAAATTGCTTCATAACTTTCTTCCTTCCTATACTATATCCTTATATACAACCATTCGTTTATATACTACCACCACTAAATAAACTACTTCTATGAATCCGGTGTTTATCTTGTTGTGCTAACGAGGTATGGCAACTTGGATCGATGCATAAATGTGCCTGGTCCTACGTTGTAGCTGACTGACTGACTATTTACTATACTCATTAGCGGCACAAACTAATGTGAAAAGTAACATGAAAAAATTTATTGAAAATTGATTTCAACATTTTAATTATGTACTACATTTATTTAAAAGAAAACAGAAAATGAGATCTACTAGCCTATGAGTAACAAAAAAGACTACTTCATCAAAGCTGAGGGTTTATAATATTGACTAAGGGAACATATAGTGCTTTATTATCAGTGTTGGAAAATAATGTTTACAATTCACAAGGTTGTTAGAATATCAAAGTTGTTAATTCAAAATCATCAGATACATTAGAACGGTGGCTTTATGGTTAAAGGAGTTGATTTTCAATTGGTAAATCTTCGAATACCATTGCATCTATTATACTTTCGGCAACTAAGAAGTATCATTAGATGTATTATTATTATTATTTAAACACAAATATTGGTACAAGAAAGCATCAGATACATATGCGCCATACAAATCTCATTTGATTTGTGTGAGGGCTGTGATACTGCCCAGGTGCTCAGACTGAAGCAGGTGGTTTTCTTAGGGGGCCACACCCGAAACCTTCTACCTAAAGGTCTGATCCACAAGGCAGTGGAGAATCGTAAGGAGATACAGTCCCATGATAGCCGGTGACCAACGATTGATTCATACGCCATTTGTTCCCTTAGGATACTGGAGCCAGCTCATGTGCACCATTGGTTCGGAATAAGGGTTTTCCAACTCCCCTGGGTGGACTCGCAGTGTACACCAACCCGGTTAAAGTGCCGGACATATATGTATTCATATATGTAGTATTGCTTAAAACTGATTGTACTGATATATACATAGTTTCTAAGTGAATTGCATTTAAAAATGAGTTGCAGATACAGTGGCTCTAATAGTATAGTCTAAAAATCAAATACAGTGAACACTTGTTCAATAGATTTGTGAAAGGACAAAGTGAACATGCAATTTAAATATTGCAATAATTTAGAACCATCTAAATTCAAGTAGATATGGATGATGGCTTGTAGTAGAATCCATGGCGCTCGTTTCGTCCCTTTTGGGACTTGTCAGGGACTAGTCCAAGCAACCAATATAACTAAACTTAATGGGATACTGACAAAATAAGAGAAAATGTCATTTTTGAAAAAGCGGAGAAATCTAATAGTAATTCAATCGCTAATTACGAGTGGAACAATTTCTGTAAAAAGTGAAGATATACAATATGAAAACTAACTTGTTCAACATCTGCTCCATGAAAATCGATTAAGTACTCAGCAACATCTAAATGTCCTATATGACATGATTTAAAATGAGAAAAAGAGCAAATTTACCATTTCTACATGCTACAATGAGACAAGTTTGACCATCAAGTGAATTTTTATGAACTACTTGACCAACAGAACGTGCACATTCTTTTAATGATTTCAAATCACCAGAGATGCAATAATTGAAAATATTTTGCTCTGTAACAAGTCTACTTTCTGTTTTAGAAGCAGTAGCCATCAAAAAGTTCAACGTCAATATCTACTTATGAACCTGGTAATATGAAATAAAAACAACAGAAATAAAATAAACTTATAGACTAATGGCAAATTTGTTTAAGAAAAGATTGCTGGTAACAAAAAGCCAAATGACAGAAATATATAAGTAAAACACCAACTTTGCAATCTACGAAAAGATGGAAAAACTTTGTATGTTAACGAAATATTGGTTTGGTACAATCTTGTCAGTTTACGAAGCGGAATTTCGTCTTAGCTTTTAAATTTAACCTATTTACTACGTATAGGACTACGTACTAACCTCTAAGTTTTATTAGCACCATTTGGTAACCAAACTGGAGCGCGGTTTAGACCCATGACTAATTGGTTGTAAATCCGTTGGTCAGTAAAGTTTGCTAGCTGAAAGCACTTCTGGGCATTGGAAACCCGAAGTATGAATTACCCAAAAGACAATCTGATACAGTTGAAGGCGGAAAATCACATGTGGTTTAAGTAATCGGCTATGGGTCACATTCTCGTATACGAACTGTTCATTTAAAATGGGTCCGGGTTAAGACCTACAATCTAGTGATTTAGAGCGATTTGACTCCAAACATTGAGTCAGAAATTAAGGTAGTAGTAAATAGTATGGATCAGGATGAAGTCAGTCATCGAAGCCCTCTTAAAGCTTCATTTCCCTTGCTTTACTATTTTTATAGCAAAATAAAACTAGTAGTCCCAGTTTTGATTAACACATGAATAATAAAATGAATATGCTCTCTGGAACCAGATGTTTGATGGTGCTGTCATAAACTATTCTCATCCGCTCTAAATTATTATTTCAGGTTTAAGAACAGTTTAGTTTGGCGGTAGCGCGAATCTGCTCAGAATCAAGTAAGCAAGAAACGATCGGTCGGAGAACTGTCCTGATTTGTTTCTTTTTTGACATAAGTAAATAAATAAGTTAGTCTGTCCTGACCCATATTTGTTCCGATCGTGAATCTTATAATTTCACCAAACGTATAAGCTGATTCAAGTTAACATTGCATATGAGTCATCTCAACATTAACAATTTTATTTTGTTTAACAATCCTAAATTCACATGCTATAACTTTAGACGATGTACTTTTCCCTAAACCTAGTCACTTTTCGGATCATTAATTTGCATGTATACTTCTAGAACCTGAAGAGAACTTACTGAAAAGAATATTTTTCGTCCGCATATTAGTCTCTTAATATGACTGGGATGTTTAAATAATTAGAGTTGTGAACAACCCATCGCGTTGAAGGAGTTCAATGAGTTCCTGAAGTATGACGAAAAATGCACTGGGACGGAAACTGTCAGGGAGTTTATCAATAGCTGTATTTAATTAAGTCACTATTCAAAATTATACCATACATCGTTACGGTAGAACGGAGTCTACCACAATAGAAAGACACCGAAACGCCGCATCCTGAATCTGATTGACGCCTTGAATTCTGATACTGAAGATACAGATAAGTAATTTTTGCGGAAAATATGGTGCAGACAACCTAATGGATGATTTAAGAATACTCTTTATGGACTATGTTACGAACGCTATAGAACAGAGAGCAGGGAAGAAACGTATCTAGCTACTGAAAGGTCTGCAGAATTACACAGCTGAAAGCAAATTTTCAGTCTATTCCAGTAGGAATGTCCACAATTTCTCAAGTGTTGAACTAGATAAGCAAAAAGTAGAAGTATTATCCCTAAGTATGAAATTCCGTGATACCCGGAATCACTCTAACCACATAAATACAGATAGATAGTTTGGCAATCTGTATAGTCACACGGGATTTCGTTGAGAATTCTGATCAACTATAACATTTGAAATCAAATTTTGCAGACTGTTGTTACCAGCATAAGAAAAATAAATTCAATTACTAATGCATTTTTACAAAGAAGCACAAGGAGGCTATCAACATGCTCCTAAAGGATAAGACGTTATTAAGAAACCTGACAAAGGTTCAGTTGTCCTCAGTAAAGGTGGTTATACTGACAAAATGAGTACCATCTTAGGTGACATTAAAAACTAACTAACCAGAAAGTAAAAATGAATAATCTACAGTGGACTCAAGACATCAATTCTCTTGACAAGTTTTTTATGAACACGAACTATTGTAACGTTATAACTTTTTGTAATTAGTCAGGTAAACTTCACTACCCTTATCCAGATTGAAGTATTAGAATTGATGGGTAAGTCTATGATTTATGGACAACCTTTGAGCGACGATGGAGCGGCCTTTAGAATGTCCGTCTACTAACTAGGACTGCCAGGGAAGTCCTACACACTGCCTTCTCGTGGCGTGGGTGTTGCTTACGAAAGTGAAAGGACGAAAAGCGAATGTCCGACGCTATAAACGAGTTGCTGGACACGGAGGGTCCACCTAAGGGAGTTGGAAAACCTTGATTCCAAACAAATGGTGCACATGGGATCCAGTATCCTGAAGGAACAAACGGCGAACGAACCAACTGGTGGTCACCGGTTACCATGGGACTGCATCTCCTCACGATGCTCCACTGCCTTGTGGATCAGACCATTAGGTCAAAGTCTCCGGATGTTGCCCCCTAAGAAAACCACCTGCTTTGGTTTGGGCACCCGGACAGTATCACAGCCCACACACAGATGACATGAAATGACGCACTCAACTAACTACATTGCTCTCATTCCTAATAGAAGAAAGACAATTTACATTATCATTATTATTATTATTTACTACGTCGCTTTTCCACTCCCTTTATTCTCAAATTGTGTATCCTTCCTTTCCAACTTATGAAGTAGCTCGCCCATGGTGGAAACTCTATCCTATCTAAACGATCTCCAGTCACTGTCTGGTTGAAAGTGAATGCTTCCACCGATTTTTATTTTATTTATTTATTTAAACACATATATATTGGTACAAAATGGCACCAGATACATATGTGCCACACAAAATAATGAAAGTAGGAAGAGAAAGGATGAAAAGATAACGCGGACTAAAATGTACAACCGGAAAACTCTTTCAGTTAAGAAAGTTAAAACCACTCTTTATGAAGAAAGTAAAAGAAGGTTGCAGCAGGATCGCCACTGGCTTCTATTCTGAGCCATATTTAATAACGTCTCTAGCCACTGTGTTGCACCATCTCTCGGACCCCAGCCAGGGAGTCGTGAAGGACCAACAGAAGCTAGCTCTTTGCAGCTTTCTTTCATGCCACGACACCATGTCATACACTGACCTCCTATCCGCTTTTTCCAACCAGTCCCAGAGTCGGTAAATAATGCACGACGTGGAAGTCTCTGGGACGACATTCGTAAAACATGTCCAAGCCACCGAAGTCAGTGTTTCAAGATGGTGACACCAATTGAATTATCGTCTCTGCGCCCGAAAAAAAACAGGCATAAATGGATGGTTGTATAACGTCGAATTTAACACGCTGTGTAGATACTATACTCGGTAGAAATCATTCTTATCTCCGTTAATTTTATAATTTAATTTCCACTGTCTAGGGACATTCGGAGATAAAATCCCAATATTTAACACATAGGTGACCTTAGAAATTACTGGAGATTTCGGAGTCATTTAAAAACAGAAGTAACTAAATCTACTCAATAACTCATAGGCATGTACAAGAAAGGAAACAATAAAGTACACCAAGACCGATTAATAGGCCTATTTAAATGGATAAATTGACTTTCATACTGAAAATGGAACTTCGTAGTGATTTTATTTCAGAAATTTACCAGATTTTCGTCTTCAAACAAATACTTTGTAGAATGAACCTACTCACCTGACCGTACGATTCCAAAAAGAGCGCTCAAACTTTCCGATTATCAATAGATTCAGATTCAGTCTTCAGTAATAAGGATAGGAGGTCTAGTGACCTATTTTAATCCTTGCAGTTTGTTACACTGTGGAGGTCCAATCTCGTCTTGAATATATCAACAGAAGGTGCTGATATTACGTGTTCTGGTAGAGAATTCCAGTAATTCACTACTCGGTGCGAGAAACGAAACTCCAGACGTAGACGATTTGATCTCGGTTATTGGACTTTCTTTGAATGTCCTCTCAAATGATCAGCCCTAGACGGGAGGAAAAGATAGGACATGTTAGTACCAAGGTCATCGTTCGGGATACGATATGCCAATATTAGATCACCCCGCATTCGCCGGTAAGATAACGGAAATAAGTTGAGGTGTCTCAGTCTGTCTTCATAAGATAGGCTAGATAACCTTTTTACCATTTTCGTCCCGCGGCGTTGGACTCCTTCCAACATATCCGCCTCATATTTGAAACAAGGACTCGCTGCTTCAATCCCATATTCTAAATGTGGCCGTACGAAAGTTGGGTATAATAATCTAAACATTTCCCCATCCAGATACCGGAAAGATCTACGAATAGACCATAATGCCCTATAGCCTTTTGCAGCAGCAGCCTTACAGTGACTGGTTGTTTTGAGATCATTACTTAGTATGACTCCTAAATCTTTATAGTTTCTTACTTTGGGCAACACTAGTCCACATATTGTGTAGTGATACGAATCATCGTAGTTATTTAATTGCATCACAACACTTTTATTAGGGTTTACTTCTAGTGACCACCCATTCATCCATGCAACTAGTGAGTTAAGATCTTCCTGTAAAACTATTCTGTCTGACATACTATATATGGGTCTCCAAATCTTAATGTCATCGGCGAATAGTAGGACGGATGACTTAGCTATAGCTGGTAATTCATTTATCTAAAGTAAAAAGAGAAGAGGACCTAAAATCGTGCCTTGGGGGATGCCACTTTTTACTGGTTTCCACGATGAGAGAGTCCCATTTACTCTTACCCGTTGTCTCCTTTCATGAAGAAAGTCACTTAGCCAGTCTATGAAGGCATAATGAATTCCAAAACTTTCTAGTTTCAATTTAAGACCAGAATGGGAAACCTTATCAAAGGTTTTACTTAGATCTATGAAAATGACATCTACAGGAATATTGCGATCTTTTGCCTCAGCCCAATCTTCTCTTGCAATGAGAAGATTTGTCAAACATGATAGACCTTTTCGAAAACCATGTTGTTCCTTTGACAAAAGATTCAAGTTTGTGCATTGTGGAAAGAAGACTGATAGTTAGTGTTCACCCTTTTCTAGGGAGCTTGCATAGATCTCTTGCTTTTTCTTGGGTGAATCAGTTCAATTTTTGGACATTATTTTATCCCGTTGTAGGATCCAACAGCCTGTAGTGACCGGCTGGTCTCGATAAGAACACGACTGGAATAACAGAAACAAATATTATTTTCGTAACTAATTGTACCAGTGAATGTTTTACTGTATTTGTTTAACTGTATCAGACTCACTTCTTGTTCCGCTATCCGCCTTGTTCGGTTCGAACTTTATTACGCTCTGCCCATTTCGACTGTACCCGTTGGCACGTTTCGGTATTATTTCAATACCACGAGATCGCCAATAAATATACTTGATCTGGATCAATAAAGCCTTCTGATTTACGAGTTATCAAAGGAACCAAGTAGTTTTTGGGCGCGTAATCGAATATTAGTGGTGATCATAGTCCGTCCTCGACTCGACACCCACTATAAGCCTATAAGGGTAAATAGATCCCCGAAATCAATATCTCTGTAAGTCTTCGACATTTTATGTTGAACGCATTATTTTTAATGGACCCACCTAACTGAAAGCGCTTAGTCATACATCCGCATCAGATCACAAGTGGGTACGCTGTGCTTCACATCTCCTAGTCAGCTTAGATTAATCACTTCTCGATATATAGATAGCCTATCAAATATATGTTGGAACCTCTTCTCTCCCGACTTTTAGTTTGACTGTGTTGGCACATTTCGATTATAAAAGGTGGTTCTGATTGAGGCATTATCAAAACTCGGATTCTTGTGGCATCTTTAGGCTAATTACGCGGCGATAAAACCTTTATACCAAATAACGTTCATCCATTTTTGACTTGTAAACTTGTTTTACATGTCCTCCGAGTTAATCTGACTTAGATGTAGGTAATAGAGAATACACATCAGATCAGAGGTCATCACATATTACCCTAAATATCATGATTAACTCTCATTCCACAATAAAATAGCCCAATGAGGTCTGGCTTTGAAAACTTCAGTGTATTGTGAACTCCAGAATTCCAGAATTACGTCGATAGCTGTTTTTTATACTTCCTCCAAGATGTATGAGCCTAGTTTGGATCTTATTAGGTATATGCACACAGCGGTATGTTTATCTACAACTTGGTAAATGTTCATTACAAGACACATAAGACTACTGACTCTTTTGTAGGCGCACTATTTAAAAGGGAAAGTGGTATTTTTCCTCTGAATATACTGTGTAGTATTGATCGTTCAATTACGCATCGAAACTACTGTTATCGCCTTAATTGAATTTGTTTCTGTTGAAGCAATCCTTAAGAGTACCGCATTTTTATAGAGAGGTTTTATCATTTGTAATTTTTGAGTACAAATAAGAAAAAAATAAGGGCACTAGTAATTATTTTTCCTTATTTAGTATGTATTTGAGTACTTTTTGTATCCATAGGTGTTAAGGTTTTTTGTAGCTATCGAATTCTGATTTTTAGTCTTTTTGTTGTTGTTCGGTACAGTACATTCACGAACCTCCGTTTTTGTTTGTCTAACATCTATCAAGCTTTAAAAGACACTCTATCTAGAGATCGATTTTCGCTGTGAGATCAAAAAAAAAATTCACGACGCAAGTAAAACATCGTTGTAGCAGACCAGCATGCTGTTTCCCTGTCGATGATGGGATGCAGTGTGACAACTGCAATAAGTGGTATTGTGGTGTAGTCTACTTATATCTATATAAGTAGTATATGGTGTGGGTCAGGCATAGAATGTATTTTGGCAGAAGACCGATGAGGAAAGAACTGAAATGAGGCGCAATCGTCTGGAAAATGCATGAGCAATTTAATAAGAGAAGAAAAAGTGAAGATTGAAACAATTGGTTGTTAATTTGCAAATTGACTGTTCATTGTTTGGTAATCAGAATTTACTGAGATAGTCTGCAATCTTTGCTTAAATACATTCGATTGTCCCCAACTAGTGTTCTATTCACTACAGTATCACAATAAGTGCACCGGATTCACACGGGTTACATATAAAAAGTGCTGAAAGCCGTTATCGCATAGGCTGTACATAGCATGTTGTTCTATAAAGTCTCTTTCGATTCTAGAAGCGATTGAGCTGCCGAAGATAGCTAGAAAACTGCCCTCAGATAAACAGGCTGCAGTAGATGAGCGGTACTTCTATTTCTAGGAAATAGGGAGTGTTACCATGAGCCCAACTCTGGATTTAAATGAGAACATAAAAATGGACCCTATCAGAGAAGCAGATAACAAGCATACGAATGTAGGCATAATCACAAGGAAATGGAAAAAGCGCGCGGGGAAGAAACTAATAATAGACAGTACCAAGGTATGTGAATCTACAATTTTAGTTCCGGATTTACCCATCAACGCAAAACAAACTTTGGGGGAGCCAAGTGTAAACGGTGTAGAGGATATGATCAAGAGACAAAATAAGCTAAATGAGCGACTCACAGTCACACCCAGCAAAAGAAAAGTATGAAAACATAATGCGACCTCTGCGGTTGACACCAAATTGAAAACGGATTCCAGAGAAGAGACGATTTCAGGAATTAAAATTCCACAGAGCGTTAGTCAGGTAAGTCATTTTCCATGAATTAAGAGAATCTTCAAAAAAGAAACCAAAGGCTAGATTTGAGCACGATCTCAGTCACATTAAGTCCTTAGTAAGCAAGCTACTTCCAGAAACAGTTTTAGGAGTTAGCATCTGTAAGCTCTATAGAATAGAACAGTAGGTGGATTCTAAAAGTACTGGGAAAACCCACCTCTTAAAGGTTACCTTTGCTAGGTTTGGAGAAAGAAACCTGACACTGGGAAACTCACACATACTGATTGGATCCGGAATATACGTCCGAAAGGATCTCACCTTGGTCAACCGTATTAAGAGACGAGCCGCAATAATAGAAATAAATGAGCGCCGCGGAAACGGTGAAAGAAGCCTAGTCCCTAGGGGTTTTCACATCGTAATAGTTAGGAACCAAACCACTCTAGGTGGTAATGGGAAGTTCTCCGCGAAATTAAAGGTGTGCTACACAAATACTCGCAGCCTATCAAATAAAATGGCAGAGCTCAAGACGATGTAAATACAGAAAAACAGGATGTTATGGTTATTTCAGAAACACTGTTAACGTCATAAGTGTTTGATAATTAAATTTATTTGACTGGTTTTATGTCCAGTAGGGTTCATAGACTAAGCCGTAGAGGAGGCGGGGTCATCTTGTACACGAAAAGTATCTCAATCGTACAGTGGCACATGATTCAGAGACATGTGAACTGGTGCATTGTAGGCTGAAATGTAAACGACTGGATATTGAATTAGTTGTAATATGCCACAGTCCAGAATGCATAGTAGATAACTTCCTCCTAATCAAACTAAGGTCCTGGTCTAATAAGGGTAAAAGCTCTGTTATAAGGGATTTTAATGCACCTTGTATAAACTGGGGAAACTTAGAAGTAGGGTCATCGATAACGTCATTCCATTGCAAACTTATAGAAACCTCAATTGCACTATCTTTATTCCAACACATAAGATATCCCACCACATATGACCTACTAAGTTCCTCGTCCCTCTTGGAATTAGTCTTCACACATGGTGACGAAGTCGGTCAAACGACTTTCCTGCCGCCTCAAGGGAGAAGCGAACATACAGTCATTTTATTCAAAT